GTGCGTTTAATTGCCTAGAGTCGAAAAGCCTTATTACTTCTCAGCTCCTTTCATACCAATGAAAATGTTTCCTTATTTTTCAGACCTCAATCTACTTCCTTCCGAAGATGAAGACTATTTCTCTCTGAAAACAAAACTAAAAGACAACATCAAAAGACCTAGTCAAAGTAATTTTTAGCACCACGAGGTCTCCAATTCAAACAAACGATACAATTAAAAATACTTACTCATGTGGACTGGTTTTAATCAGAGCCAAGACATCAGAGCATAAAACTAACTCAAGACAGGGCATAAACATCGCCCCTGATGGTGCAGCAGTTAAAGCACTTGGCCATTAAGTGAAAGGTTGTTGGTTTGAACTCACAAGCTGCTCCAAGGGAAAGAGTGGCAATCTGCTTCCGTAAATACCTATAGTCTCGGAAGCCCTGGGGGTTCAGTTCCATCCTGGCTGATCAGGCTCAGAGGAGCTGGAATTGACAATGCGTTTGGTTTGGATCTTGTAGAGTATAGAAACAAAGTGGCTATTTTGATATACAATAGCAACTCTTCCACAACTCTATTTTAGATGCAAGTGTCTACTGCAGTAACTTCACTTATTTTAAGGAGAGCAATGAAACTGGGAGTAAATATTAATGATCACAATCCATGCACTTAAGCATAATCAATTTTTTTAAGGTCTTCATTTTGAGTCAATGTACTCTAATTTACACGCAGTTCTAATTAGTTTAGTAATCTGTTTTTCAAAACCATAGCAGATTAGAAGCAACATTATGAAGGTGGAGAAAAGTTAATGCTGCAGACATACTTAAGCAAGTAGTAACATGTATGGAGGAACCAAAAACAAAGACATAAAAGCTTAAAAAGTATAGAACAGAGCCATCCACCATCAGAGGAAAGAGCTAAATCCAACTAGTCAATCATCATTAAACTGCTATTAACGATCATTTTGATATCAAGGAAAGAAGAAATGAATTTCACATATTATTTAAAAAACATACTAATATATTTGTTTTATAAAGATTTCCTCCAGAAAGTATTCCAAAAATGTTTATAGTTATAGAGGTTTAAACTATACAGAAAATTGTAATATCTGGAATGACTCATTCACACCCTCCTTCCCCCTTGCCCCACACCAAATATTCAGGTAGTCAGATATGACTAAATTAGCCATGCATGGTTAATCTCAAACCAACAGTTCGAGGATGAACAGCGTTGTAGTCTCAGTTCACGTGCTTTAACTTTAAAATCTGCATACCAAACTAAGAACAGTGAACCATAACAAACTCTTTAACATTTTCCTGATACACAATGGTCTGCAAAAGATGATGGTCAATATTTCTTTTCAAGGCTAAATTAATTAATGCAGAATCCTAGAAATGTGAATATATAAAAATGGAATTAACACTTTGAATACATGGCAATTAGATACCCAACTGAATATTTTAGCCAGTTCTTAGTAAAGAACTAAGAAGTCAACAGTATGGTGAGTAGCTCTACTGGAGTCACAAGTCCACCCCCTTCGCCCTCTCTCAGTCTACTTACTCTTCCTTTAGAAAGCATTCTAGCGCCCTTGGCAATCTGGTTTCTCGGGCCACTGCAGATTAGAAGCAGGCAGGTACATAAGACAGCAGCAAAAAGTGACAGCTGATTATAAGACAATGGAGAAACGTGAAAAACAGAACTCATGTAGTGTAGTATTGACACTATAGCCCTCAAAGAAAATATTAAAATAACAACAAATATACTTTAGAAAAAGTGGGGGAAGGGAGAATATTTTAGAAAATTTCTTGAGCTATTAAATTTTATGGTTAATTAGATTGGTCTCAGTCACTTGAAAAATTAACTGACATTAGATTGTGCTTTGGAAAGATTTTTACATCCCCAGGAACTATGCAACCATCTAGGAGGGAGTACAGAAGTACTAAATACATTATTAAACCAATTAACTGGGATGTCCCAGAAAGCCATGATCCTAAACTTCCAAACCATGGAACCAAATCCTATCAACTGTTGGTTGTATATATGCAGCGTCAGTGGCTATTCTTGTTTTAAGTACAACTTTCACACAACTTTGCCAATTCAACTTTTTATAGGTTTTAACTTATTGACAGCAATTAAAATAGCTGCATGTGCAACCGAAGACCTTGGTCAATGTGACTTTCCCATCAATGCTAATTCTTTTCCACCTCCTACCTCTGGTAACCACTAATAAACTTTGGGCTTTTACATATTTACCCTTTTATGATTGAAGTCATACCATATTTGTCTGATTGGCTATTATTTTGCAAAGTATAAAATCTTTAAGCTCCATTCCAACTGTAGCGTTTATCATAATTTCATTTCACTTGTTGGTTGAGTAGTACTTCATTGTATGTACATATCACATTTTGTTTATCCATTTATCTTCTGATGAGCGTATAGATACTTTCCACTTTGGACAAGGTGAATTGTGCTCAAATGAAGAATGGTATACCTATCAGTCTCTGCTTTAAAGTCTTGGAAATATATCAAGGCATGGAATTACTGGGTCATATGATAGTTCTAATTTTAGTCTTTTGACAACTTGTCACGCGATTTCCCACAACAGCCATGTGTCATTTTGCATACCAGCAAGGGATAAGCGTTCTAATTTCTCCCTATCCTCTTCAACCTTTGTTATTTCCAATTTAAAAAAATCTTAGCCATTCCAGTAGGAGTGCAATGTTCTCTCACTGTGGTTGCATTTGTATTTCTGATGGCTAATGATGCTGAGCATCTTTTCATGAATTTGGTAGCCATTTGAGTATTCTCTGGTCTATTCAAGCCTTTGACCATTTTATAATTGGATGATTATTCTTTTAGTTATTCAAGATGTTAAAATTTTATGTTTTGGGTATTAGTCTTTTTGCATAGATGGTTTCTGAAGATATTCTCCCAAATCAGTAGCTAATCTTTTCACTTTTCTGATGGTCTTTTGATGAAAAGTTTTCACTTTTTGAGGACCCATTTATTTTGTCTTAACACTGTTTGTACATTGTTCTAAGCCTGACAGTATTGTCCTTGCATGTTTTTATAAGAATTTTATGGTTTCACTCTGCACATTTAGGACCTTCATCTTTTAAATATATTTTTGTATATGATGTGTGGCAAGGATCCTGTTTCATTTTTCGGCAAGCAGAAATCCAATTTCTCGGAGGCTTCTTTTCCCATCAAATGGATTTCACAGCCTTGTCAAAAACCAGTTGACGGAGGGAGGGGAAAAATGAGGACCTAATGTCGGGGGTTTAAATGGAGAGAAAATGTTTTGAGAAACGATGTACAAATGCGCTTTACACAATTGATGTGGGTATGGATTGGGATAACAGTTGTGTGAGCCCCTAATAAAATGTTAAAAAAAAAAAAAAAAAAAAAGAAAGAAAAGTCTATGGGACAGTTCTACTGTATCACATGGGGTACTGTGGGCGGAAGACAACCCCACAACAACCAATGACAACCAGCTCAACCTTCCACAATCCAGGGTGAGGTCAAGAGGGGAGGGGCAGTTTAGAAATATCCAGAGTTATAATAGTAATTGTGATTGTTGTATTAAGTTTGGGAAAATGCAAAAATATTTCAATGAGGGGAATAACCACACTAACACTATTCAAATGATGTGTTTTGGTGTTTTTTTAGAGCTTTACAAAATTTCAGTTTTATTGACTTATAACTCTATTGTTTTTAGACAATCCAATAGTTTAAACATATTAAAATGAGTTGTGCAACATCAAAAAAAAACAAAAAACCAGTTGACAACTGATGTGTGGGTTTACTTCCGGGCTCTCGACTCTCTTTCATTGGTCTAGGTGTCTCCTGTTATACCCGCACCAGGCTACTTTTGTTACTGTAGTTGTACAGTGCATTTTACAATCATGAAGCATGACCTCGCCTTTGTTCCCTTTCAACATTGTTTTAGCTAGCAGTGGCCTAATATTATCCCATATACAGTTGAGAATTGGTTTTTCTGTTTCTATAAAAGAATCTGTTGGAATTTTGACCAGGATTATGTTTAATTTATAGGTCTTTTTGGGTAGTATTGACTTTTTAACAAAATGAAGTATTTTAACCCATGGAGTACCTTTCCATTTATTAAGGTTCTCTTTAATATCTTTCAGCAGTGTTGTATAGTTTTCATTGTATAAGTCTGTAATGTCACTGGTTAGATTTATTTCAGGGTATTTTATTTTCTTGGGTGGTATTATAAATAGAACTGTTTCCCTAAGTTCCTTTTCAGGTTTCTTACTGCTGGTATATAGAAACCCCATTGATTTTGTTTGCTGACCCTGTACAATAGCTTTGCTAAATTCCTCTAGCTAATTACCTCTATGGTAATTATCCTTTGTACTTAGTGATTTTCTATATATAGGATATCATCCATGAATAAAGATGTTTTAATTTTTTCTTTCTAATCTGGATAAAATCTATTTCTTTTCCTTGATTTATTGTTCTGACAAAGACTTCTAATACAACAATACTGAATAGAAGTTTCAGGCACCCTTGTTCCCAACTTCAAAAGGAAAGCTGTCGTGCTCCATTAAGTATAATGTTGGTCTTTCTTATATGGCCTGAGTCATTCTTAGGAATTTCCCCTCTATTCCAATCTTCTTTAGGGCTTTCATCAAAAAACTGTTGGATTTTTTAAAATGTCGTTTCTGTATGTAGAGATGAGCATGTGGTTTTTATGTTCTGTTGATATTGTGTATCACATTGATTGATGTTCTAGTGTTGGATCATCCCTGCATTCCTGAATAAATTCCACTCGTACAACTCTTTTAATAGTCTGTTGGATTCTGCTTGCAAGTATTTTGTTGAGGAGTGTTGCATATTTCTGTTCTGATTTTTGTTATTTCCTTTCTTCTCATGGTTTAGCCTTAGTTTGTATGTAGCCTTAAAATCATGTTTTAAACTTTCCTTAGTAATTTGTTTTACATAACAGAGACCTTTTCTGTCTCCAGTAACTTAAGAAATCAAACTTGAGTCATTGATGAGTTTCCAATGAAATATATTTAGATGCTATAATTACAATTAGTCTTAACAAGGACTTATCTTATGAAGTCATAAATACAGATAACTTGTGAAAAGCAGAGGGTGGCAATCAAAGACCAGAAACGAGACAAGCCAGATAGGTAGTGTTTCAATGGAAGCTGAAAAGAGAATTTAAGGCATGATGATTATTATCAGATTTACTTTCATGATTTTCTTAAGTGTTGGCCAAGGGTAAAAAGGTCTTGCCTTCAAAAATGACCTAGCCTCTTCTAAACATTTTTATGGTACTAGGTTTATCCTAGTAAAATAAACTATGGAAATGTTTATAGTAAGAGTATCAGGATGTGTACTCTCAGTGAGAAGTTTTCTGTCAAAATAATACTGTAAAGTTTGGAAAGAAGAATTACAATTTTTCTGATAAGATTTGTTTCCCACAGAGAGCTTTTTCTGGATACAGGATAGTCGTCATTACAGAACTGATAATGCAAATAAAATATTCCTAGAAAAGCAACAAACAAGAACATCTAATTATATTCAATAGCCTATTTGTTTTAATTTCCTAAGGTATTCATAGCAAGAAAATGTCCCAGATAAATGGTTAAGATTTTCCTGTGTGTAAACATTACATAGGTCTCATTCTAGAAGCATCCACTAAGACCTACTCAAGTAGAGCCTGGAATCTGCATTTTAAAATACCACTCCTCCCAGGTTATTTTGATGCAGTTGTTGCACTGAAACAACTGATTTAGAGTATATGAAGGGAAAAACGAGTCAAGGAAAATTACTTTCACAGGAAAATATTTATCTTGGAAATTTTTTCAGCTAGTAGAGTTTTCATTGAACTAAGTAAGCAATAATGAGTCTAGAATATTTTGTACACCTGTATAAACCTTCTTAGTCATTAAAAGTTAAATAAAATTGATTTAATACTATGAAGACATTTCCCCCTAAATTAAATTAAATCTAGCATAATATAAATAAAAGATAACAAAATAATGAAAATTATTAAACTCTGTTTTTTCCTGTTTAAGGATACTGGCTAAGAAAAAGGATGATCAAGTTTTCCATAAGTATTTTTTATAAGTCTAAAGAAAAAAAGGAATTAGTAAACTAGATAAAGTAGAAGCTGAGCCTAAGTATAAGTATCTAAGAAATGTTCAATATAACAATCATTTTTTCCTCTTGAAATTTAGCTAAATGTTAAGCTTGTCCTACTTTAATGTATTGATTCTTTGAGCTTAATTACAGCTGTCAAAGAATTTTGGCAACTCGAAAAATTACTCATCATACAAAGATTTTGACTCACCATATAAAGCAGAACCAAGTTGGGTTTTTTTCCAGGATCAGATAAAAAGTCTTTTCCTTAGATCATTGAAAGAACAAAAAAAAATTCCCTTCAATTATGCTAAGAATACAAGAGTTTACTCACCTAAAGTTTTCAACTATAGAAATCCAAACGTGCTTTAAAAAAGTCTTTCAATGATCTAGATTCATCATGTAATTTCCTTCTCAGGAGAGCAGCATAAATTAAGTTAATCTGACATTCACCACAAATAATAGGTATAAATTTTGTCAGTGCATATGAGCCACAGGCTTCAAAAACTGGGTACTTCTGAAAACACCATTTTTGAAAATGCAACCATAAAACAAAATGCATAGGATGATACGAATTGGTCAGCAACTTCCTCTTAGTAGTAAATAAAGTACTAAGGAAACAGGATGATTTCTAGGAAGTGGACAGGATGTTTTCTGAATCTCTAATGTGGATAGGATGCAACCTCGGGCAGAATTATGAGCTGCCCGGTTTCCTGACTCGGCATGGGTTCTAAGTAAATTAATCCAATGAAATTTCTGCAAGGTTGAGGATAGGGCATATAAAGACCCCACTTTTAGATGTGGAAGATGTGATAAACACGCGTAAAAAGGAACATGGTCATCATTCTTAAAAATTGTACAAACCTTTTCTTTTAAAAATTATTAGGACATCTTTAAATCAACCACTGGAATACACACATACAAAAGGAAACATAAGAAGTGTGTTATGTACTTTTGAAACAACTTTTTAGTTTCAAATCGCAGCACACATTGATTGCAATGAATTCATTTTTTTAATTCAGAACCTTTATCTTTGTTTTATGACTGGTATAAACAAGGAAAATACAAACAGCTTGTTATTAACAGAATAGCAGCAGTTATCCACTGCAAGGATACAGTAAAAAGGAGTCATACTAAATGTTCATGTTCTTATTCCATCACCTTATGCTAGCAAATTTCGGCAAGAAATGAAAAATCCATTTCTTATTAAAAGTACTTAAAGAATTCCAAGATTGATTGGTTGAGCCACAAATAAGATGGCAGGTTCCTCAGGAAAGCCCTTACCTTTCGTTTACTTGTCTAAAAGATCTGCCGTTTATACCCAACTAGTGTTTTCAGAGCAATTGTTCAGATCTTCCTGTGAATTCATATCTTAGGTGTCTATGTAAACTTACACTTGTTTCCCCATTCCAGTGAAATGTCTATCGTGCCCAAGCTAAAATACTTTCATAAATAGGAGAGTATCAAATCCTTCAGGTAAACCTTGGCTTTTCTTTTTCTTCTATCCCACTGTTACTCTTTCCGTGTGTTATCTGCTCTTCATCCTCCTCTTCATCACCAAAAGTCTGTTCCTGCATGGTGGTAAAGGAGAGGGATCTAGCAGCTACTTCTGCAGCCAGGCCGGATGTGAAGTTAAAGTCAGATGACAGCTGTAACCGGGCCAGCCTCTGCTTAATGGAGGGCTGTAGTGAGTCCCTGGGAGTTGGCTGGGTGGTGGCTAGCTCCCCTATATCTGCCTGTGGAGATTCATCTTCACTCTGACACTGGTAACACACACTTTCTTCAGCTCCTGGGAGGAAGGCTTCATTTGTAGAATTGTCCTTATTTTCACTCTCTAGAGGGTTTTCACAGAAATACTCAGTCCTATTTATTTCACTGCTAGTTGTAGAGGGTCTACTATTTTCCTCTTCAGTATCATTTTTACCAACTTTTCCCATATCTGAATTCATAGATGACTCTGAATTATTTAGGGGTTCCACTGGGTCAACAGTAGACAAGGATTTCAACACAGCTTCAAAGGGAGAGGAAAAAAGAAAAAGAAAAAAAATAACTAAGGACCTAGCAATGATTTAAATTTCTAATTTAAATTTACAACAGTATTTTTCCTGAATGATAAATAAACAAAATATAAAAACTTTCTAGTAAAAGCAATATAAATTTCTAAAGTCAGGGAACTTTATAAGGGATAAGAAGCCTAAGATATGAAATGAAATTTTGATGAGGGTTTTTTAAACACCTGACATTATCTTAATTAAAAAAAACAGTACTCTTCAAAGTCCTGAACTAGTAATATCACCTAAGAACTAGTTAGAAATGCAAATTTTCTGGACCCACTCCAGACCTCCAAAACATTCTCTGTAATTGCGTCAATTCCAACTTATGGTGACCTTACAGAAAAGAGCAGGGCTGCCCCCTGGGTGTCCAAGGCTATACACCTTTACAGGAGCTGAGCACCTCACCTTTCTCCCATAGTGTGACTAGAGATTCCAACTGCTCACCTTGTGGTTAGCAGACCACTACGTCTTCTGGGCACCTTACCCCAGTCCTACAGACGGAAATTCTGGGGTCAGGTGAGCATTTTAAAAGCTCTCTAGGTGACTTTGATGCATATTACAGTTTGAAAACCATTGGAGGAAAGAATTAGTGGAATGGTTTTCTCACTAAGGGGTCAGACAAAAGGCATACAGTAATACAGATAATAATCCCATCTTCAACACATATATTTACAAGTTAAAACAACATGGGAAAAAATGCATTTGCAATTCAACTTACTTGCCAACCACCTAATAAGACCCTGGTGAAAGACAGTCACAACTTCTACACATATTATAATGCCACAGAAAAACACAAATGAAATCAAATCGGCATTCCAGATCAAGTTCTGTACAAAGCATAAGACATGAATATAATATAGATCCATACGGCAGATGTCGTGCTTGCAAGGAACATGAAGGTTTATTTAGGCCTCTTGATGTTAGTAGGCAGTGGGCTGCTTGCTAGGCAGTCTCTCCTCCCAGAATGAGGGGTTAGTACAATACAATAGATTAGGAAGCAGGACGGAAGGAAAAGAGTGCTTCTTGAAGATCTGGTGTTTATTTTAAAGATATTTTGGTAAAATGTGTCCATTTCCAAGAAACAGATCCCTAAGCTGCAGTAACTCCATTAGAGAAGCAGCAACAACAGAAAAAATGGCAACAGCAGGTTCCAGTGCAGACTTGCCCTCTCTAATTCCACTCCGACTTTACCCCTGTAGGCAAAGATGAAAACAGCTCTGGGAGGTGCACTGCAATTCATCACGGGAACAGCATTTTACGGTAGCAGTTTTTCACTTATTTTCACAAACTATACAAATCAGCATTATTGTCCTGCATCAAAAGCACATGCCTACAAAAGGACATGGTAATTTTTTCTTTATAATTATTGGTGTTACCCATAATGTCAATAAGATAATTTTAAAGCTACATGGAAAAAACATTAAGTGAAAAAGGTCCCAAGTTTATAGCTAATGCAATTTTCAGTCTATCAATCTGTAACCCTTAAAGAATGCGACATATATTAAAAGTTTATTGCTATTCATGAAGAATGATTCATGCTAATTACATTGGAGAACAGAATCTGTATAACAGAACGCCCAACTGACAAGCGTGGTAGCACTGTGCGAGGATTTAAGGCTCCAGGAGGGGCAGGACTTTAGTCGTGATCAGTGTACTATGGAGAAAGCAGTCAACAATGCCTGGAACATAGGAGGCACTCATAACTACGTGTTGATAAAAATAATTGTCAGTGAACGCTGTTGGAGATAGTAAAGCCCTTCTTTAAGAAGACTATAATGTAGAGAGACAATGGTACTAAGCATAAAAAAAATAGTGCTCAACACATAATACCTATAACATCTGATTTTTGTGGGCTCAATACATGAATAAACGCCACCTAACTTCACTGCTACTTCTGGGAAGTTCTGAATCATTTCCCTTCTCTGCAATATGCTTGGCTATTCAGGACTTATCACTCGTTTCACTATAGTGCCAATCTGATGTCCATACTGCAAGAAAAAGAGCAGGGAGAGTCAGAGATTTCATGGAAAATAAGAGAATGGCAGAAAGGAGTGTTTCAGGGAAGAGAACGAATTTTCAATAAGGAAAGAGAAACATCTTTTTTTCTTCATGAATAAATCAGCAAATTTGGTGGACCAGACTCTAAATAGGATAATATAACTAGAAGATGTCCAAGTTACAAATCTTGAGAAATATAATTAGATATGATGAACTCATTGTGTGATCAGGAAAGGGATTTAGATTTAATATATTCAGAAAGGGAGAATGACTGGAGGCTTTTAAGAGAGAGCTATTATTAATACAATGTTAGAGAAAGATCTGAAAACACAAGTTAGCTTAGAGGGTAAAAGACATTAAACATGGAAGTCAGGCAAGAGGCTATTATAAATTATGAGTATGATTTAATAAGGACTTAGGCTAAAAGGGGGTGATTGAGAAGAAAGGCAAGAAAAAGAGAGTTCTAATGAGCTTTACAGAATCGTAGATAACCTGTGTACTTATAGGGGAAAAAAGAATGGAAAAGTTAGGGATTGAGGTTTCATGTAACTATTCTAAAACAGAGAATTCTACCACATTAGAAATGGATAGGGATTAATTTCTCAGCTAGGAATTAGCTAGGATGGTATTGTCAGGTATTACACTTCTGTGTATGTTTTCTCTTTGACTCTGCATGAAGTTTAAACAAAGAAAAATGGGTGAGGTGGGAGGGAGGGAAAAAAGAGCAGCTGATACCCAGGGCTCAAGCAGAAAGAGTTTTGAAAATGATGATGGCAACATATATACAAATGTGTTTGATACAACTGATGTATGGATTGTTATAAGAATTGTAAGAGCCCCCAATAAAATAATTTATTAATGTAAAAAAATGGGTGGGGAGCATGAATGAGTCTAAGGCAAATTTTGGGGACTAGCAGTCTTCTAACCCTGCCTAAATCCATAGAGACCAGATACACACAAATCTCTGCACTCCCCAAATAGAAGGCAGTCAAATCACAATGATGTGGCTAAGTGATCCAAGCTTAATTCTTCTTCAATAGTAGTCATGGGCTGATTAATTTCCTGTTTCACTGAGGTCTGTAAATCAGCATACGGAGAACAGAATTCAAAATCTCAAATTCACTACACTTCAAGATGTTTCATTTAAAGTCCCCCAAATCTCTTACCAATCATTCCAAAACACACTTTGCAAAAAATGAAACAGCTAATGGGAAAAAAGTGATTTCATATTCCCAATGTATACATATATCCCCAATATATTTTTTTATTACCCAACTTGATTTTGCATCTAGAGGTAAAGTACTATACTTACTGATGGATCCCTAAAATTGAAGCATTAATAATTCTACAGTTCAAATAAGATCCATGGTTTAAGAAAACAAGAATCCCCCAAATTGAAACTTTCTCCTCTGAAGTCAGTGCTTACCATGATCACTAAACAGAAGCTGTTTCCATTTCTGCCTTTCTGCTTCAGATGCCTTGAAGCCCAGCACAGACTTTAACTCCTGGAGGACTCTCTTAGACTCTTCCTGCTCACGCTTCTGCCTCTCTCTGTCTTCTTGAGACAAGTAATAAAAGTCATCCTTTCTGAACTCATTGTCCATATCTCTATCATCTACATAAGCCTCTAACTCCTGAAAACAAACAAAAAGCAATTCAAGTAGGCAGTTTTATAGTAGCACTCATTTATTAGTACAAACTCATCTCAGATTAAATCAGTTGGCATTGATATTTAAAGCATAGTTAGGCAAAGGAATAAGCACATAAAACTACAGATAAATTTAGTTCTTTAAAAAAAAGATAAAAAAAACACTAGATGTCTACAAAAGGTTATAGTTCAGAAAATTTAACGTCAACTGTATTTTCCTACTTTGATACTATACTACTTAAGTTTAACGTCATTAGCTATTTTAAAACCAATCAAACTTAGAAGGGCTGGTGGTTTACTGACATGATTGGCATTAAATCCCTTCTTGTGGTATACGTTTATAGTTCTTTCTGGCTTCCCAGAAAGTTTAAACACTACTCCTAGGCTTGGGTATAGCTCATCTTATGGTTGTCCGCTTCTTTAAGGCATCAGGCATAATACTTGCTTTCCTCCCTTACAGTTAAGATTTGGGCTTATGAGTTGGGCTCCTCTAATCACATGGGTCTACGTTAGATCGTATTTAGAGGCAGACACCTTGAGGAATCCATCCTGGCAAGAACGGTGGCAAATTAAGTTTTCCAGAGGCAGAGGTACTGAAGGAGGTTTCCCCTGTTCACCACTGATGGGCAGGCGGCCAGGTCTACAACCATTGACTAGCAGGTACAGCTCTACTGGAGGAGGTTTTGAGGAGTGAGTCTGGCTGCTTATTCGGTTCCAGTCTGGTTTGAGGACCTCGAAATGACTCTGTACGCTACCTAACATATTTTCATGTTTTTTGGTCTGCTAAACTAACTAGAGTTGGTTTCTATTTTTCATTAAGAATCTTAACTAGATAATATGACTTAAAATTGTTCCTTAGGATGAGCAAACAAAATATTTGTCAACATCTAACTTAATTGGTACATTTTTAACTTGAGGTATAACATACATACAGTATACAAATCCTAAGCATACCAGATTTTTATATATGCAGGGCCTTCAAAGAGTTTGTGGGGAAATACCATTATCTTTTAATTTCACGTTACCAATTTTTTGGAAACATATACAGTGAACCCTCGCCACTTCGCGCTTCGACTTCTGCGGCTTCACTCTATCGTGGTTTTTGCATAACAGCGCATGCTCTGTCATTACTGCCACTGATTGGCTCATACTGTACACGCTTGATGCCATAAATCATATAATAAATAATAAATGATAATTGTAACGTCCAAAATGTTTTACTGTATTTTCCCTTTTTCGTTTAATAAATTGGGTAATACAAGTGTAATGGTGACTAAAGGGTGTTTTTTCATGTCCTCTATGCTCTATGAAAATATTTGATTTACAAATAAGGAATCCTACTTCGCGGAATTTCATATATCACGGTAGGGTCTAGAACCGATTAACCGCGATAAACGAGGGTTCACTGTACATGTGTTATATGTATATAACATATACACACTGGTGAACACAACTCAGATCAAGATACAACACATTTCTTAGCACCCTAGAAGGAATTTTTGAAAATATACTCATATTTACCTTATGTGTTTAGTCACTTTTAAAGGCCTAAAAGGAATGGCAGTTAGATAGAAATAACAAGATGTTGTGCTGGTAGAGCCAATGGATCCAAATTCAAGGCAAGGAAAACAAATGACGTGATATGGTAAATATATTATACTGTTGTTTGAAGCCTATCAAAAACATATTTGGCAAGTTAAATTATGAAAACATTATCCATGTAACTTAAAGAGAAAGGTAGGTAAGCTTTCTGTAGAAAATGCTTCTTTAGGAATAAAAGCAATTTTACCCCTACCTGCTCTTCAGGAATTGGATCTTTGTCAGCAATGTGTAGAGTCGGCTGCAGCAAAGGTACAGTTGTACAATGTGGGTTTTCACAAACTATTTCAGGTTTGCCTTTACATAACAAGTGGATGGGGATGAAAGATAAATCAGCCACATATAAACAAGTATAATTCTAATAAAAATATCCTTCCTATTAATACTTCATCAACATCATAATCTAGCTTGTTCTAATTAAAACTTAATTTTTTAAAAGTAGTTTTCTTGAACAATGTCAACAAAGTTTAAATAAAACTTTTTAGTAAAAGCAATATATTTCTAAAGGCAGGGAAC